AGTATGCTGCTGACTACATATCGCTACCAATAAAAAATAAAAATTTGTCAACAAAGTATAAACTTCTGAAAAGTTGAAAAATTAATATACTCTACTCCAGCATTATTTTTTTTCAAACGCTCATCTTGTTTTGCTGTAAACTTTCAAATGCTTGAAACCGTAAAAGACAGCCAGTAGGACAACGATAGATTATTACAAACTTACCATTGACTTGATAATGTTTGCTCAAAAGTTATCAAAGAACAACTGGTGGCCTATTCTTTTGTCAGCTCAGCCAGATATTTTATTTGGAGAATCAATTTTCAACTGCTGTATGTACATTTATGAGAACGCTAACGAGAAACCTTAGAAGACTTTTGACAATAAATAAGAGGATTCAGTGTTAACAACCTCGTTCATATATGATCATTTATCATGCAGTTGCTATTTGGTGACGGTATAAATTTGTAAGATCATATCTTTAATTGAATAACTTTGAAATAATACAAGCAAAGCAAATAAACTTTAGTTTTTTTTGCAACTTACAAATATTATCACATCAAACATTTTAGTGATAAGCAAGCAATTAACGAGTAAGAAGTTTAAACGTTCTTTTCAGTATTGTAAATACGTCAGTTTCTTGCTTCAATAAGCTAAACTTCGCTCTTTTTCTTCTCTTTTAGCTTCTATGTTTGAAGTAGTAGATAACGATTCACTGCGCTATTATACGTGATTTTATAATTTAAAAAACTGAATGATACTTTTTATGCATTTTTTGTTTGAGAAAAGCATATAGTTAATTACATTTAAACTAAAAAATCACTAATATCTAAAATATTAAAACTTTTTAACATAAATATGCCTTTCTACTCTGTTAATTTCGAACAGAGTTTTTACTCAAACTTTTTTGCTTATTATCTATGACGATGAATAATAACAAAGTAGTCATTATTTGTACAAGTTAATTTTCTTTTTCTACTTTGCAGAAATTATTAGCAATTCTTTCTGGGCTATATCTTGTCTTTTTTCTTAATTTAACTCAATTGCTAATAATAGTTGTTTTAGAGAACAATTTACTACAACTCTAACGAGAACGGTAATCAACAGAACGAGAAAGATATGTCATTTTTCAATCCATTAAACTGGAGATGGAGCAAAAATGAAACTGAAAATTTCTCGGTTTGTATTTGCAAATTCGTTGATATATTTGCTTTTAATGAGGTCTAAAAATGAACTTACTGTTAGTATAAAGTGTCTTCTCCAATAACAATATTTATTTTTATTAAAACAAGTAGCTTTATATACTGCTTATCAAAAAAGCATTTCAAAATCATATTTTTACACTTACTGTTAGAGGTATTTTCTTCTTAAAATAACGAGAATAAAACAGATATGTTTTATTTTTTACTCGTCATTCTTTCTTCACAACAAACCCAAGAATTTTTAAAATTTGTGTCAACTGAAGCCATATAAATTGCTGACAACGGCAAGTTTAATGCAGTAAATAGATATTCAGAAAGGGAGGATAGATAAATTAGCTTTAAATGAGCAAATTTTGTAATACTGTTTTATCTACACTGCTTTAACAAAGCTTCCCTAAAAAGTGTATTTTAGATGTTGATGCATGCGTAGTTTCTTTAAATTTTACATCGCATCAACTTGTAATATCATCACTAGTTACTTCATAGGTAATGAACTGAATCTGAAGATTGCAGACGTAAATATATAAATAGCTTCTGAATTAGCATCACTAACTGCTTTTTAGGAAGGAATCAAATGTTCACATTGCTCAAAGACTGTCTCGTTAGAGGACACCGTTTGTTGTAAGTCTAAGGAAAATGTTAGTATTACTTACTCTTCTCTGAGAACATTTTCCTTTTTTAAAAATCGTTATATATTAGCAGATTAAAAAGCATGTTTTTCAAAAAAATTGGTGAGCAAAAAAAACTGGAGAAATAGAAAGAAGGAAGAATTTTCTTTTGACCAGATACTATTCAAAACTGAATAAAAGTTTATAGCATTTGGAAAGCTTTTATTAAATATGATTACTTAATGAAAACATTGAAATTGCTGCTTAGATTCTAACAACGTTTGATCCAATTTCGATCTAGAATTTAATAATTTAATAGTTTAAAAACCAGAGTGTTCCTGAACTTTGCAGAAGATCAACTAAAAAGCATGCTCTAGATAACAAAATAAATTTCAGCATTTACGTCAGACAAAAAAACATCAATTTTGTATTCGTTGTATCGAGGAAAAAGTAACTGAAATTTTGGACAAGAAGGAGATTCAAGATTTGTATGGTCTACCGTGTATGGTTGGAAACAGTTGCTGCAAAATCCTTTACTGGAGTAAGATCTGATAAAAAAATATTTTCGAACTATGAAAATTTTAAATATTTTCCTATCGATCTTTACCAGTGTTCTACTATTTTTGCTTTTCCAGATAAAGTGCGATTTCTTTTTTAGCTTTATTTTTGCTTGTTTTTTGTGAGATTTTTTTGCTCTGCTCTTTTTATTACGTTTTCATGGTTTAA